ACGTTTTTTCGATTTCCATATGAATTTACAATTAGTAGGGTTTTAATATGGTAATGAGGACCATACTGGATTTCCATGGCACAAAATATAATCAAAGTGAGAATAATGAGAATTTTGAGAAATGTAATTATAAACTAATTTTTGATAATCTTATAGAATTGCAAAAATCCTATTATTATTATCAATATTTGCATTTTTATTGTTATTCTTATTCTTCTTCTTATTATCATTATTATTATTATTATTATTTATTATATATTATTATTATTATTATATTATTATCATTTCATTATTATTATTTATTATTATTTATTATATTATTATTATTATTATTATTATTATTATTATTATTCTTAGTATTAGTTTATTATTATATTATTTTTACTATCGGTATAATTGCAACAAAAAAAAAATATTATAACTGTAATAATTACTATAATAACGTAATAATCAAAATAATGATAATAATATTAGTATAAAAGCGTTTATTATTGTTATTATTGCTTGATTATCATTGCTACTATTTTTATTATTTTTACTATCGTATAATTGTAAAAAAAATATTATGACTGTAATAATTACTATAATACGATAATAATAACAATCATGATAATAATAATTATTATAAACGCGTTATTATTGTATTATTGCTTTGTATTATCTTGCTACTATTTTTCTTATTTTTACTATCGGTATAATTGCAAAAAAATATTCTGACAGTATCTTACTAATCATAACGATAATAATAAAAATAAGATAACAATAATGATTATAAAAGCGTTTTAATTGTTATTATTGCTGATTATCCATTGCTTACTGATTTTTATTATTTTTTACTATCGGTAGAATGGCAAAAAAAATATTATGACTGAATAAATACTAATAACGATAATAATAAAAATGATAATAATAATTATTATAAAAGCGTTAGTATTGTTTTATTGCTTGTATTATCATTTCTACTTATTTTTATTATTTTACTATCGGTATAATTGCAAAAAAAATATGATGACTTTAATATTCCTATATACGATAATAAAAAAATAATATAATAAGAATTAATTATAAAGCGTTATTATTGTTATTATTGCTTGTATTATCATGGCTACTTTTTATTATTTTACTTACGGTATAATTTGCAAAAAAATACTTATGACTGTAATAATTAATATCATAACGATAATAAAAAAATAATGGATAATAATATTTATTTTAAAAGCGTAGTATGTTATTATTGCTGTATTATCATTTGCTACATTTTATTAGTTTCTATCCGTATAATTGCAAAAAAAATATTATGACTGTAATACTTACTATAATGGAACGATAATAATAAAATAATTATAATAATATTTATTTTTAAAAGCGTTATTATTGTTCTTATTGTCTTATTATCATTTGTACTATTTTATTATTTTTACTATCGGTATGATTGCAAAAAAAAATATTATGACGGTACTAATTCCTATACTACCGAAATATAAAAATCTGATGATAATAATTATTTATAAAAGCGTTATTATTGTTTATTATTGCTTGTATTATTATTGCTGACTATTTTCATTATTTTTATTTATCGGTATAATTGCAAAAAAATATTATGACTGTAAATAATTACTATATAACGATAATAATAAAAATAATGATAATAATAATTATTATAAAAGCGTTATTATTGTTATTATTGCTTGTATTATCATTGCTACTATTTTATTATTTTTACTATCGGTATATTGCAAAAAAAAATATTATAACTGTAATAATTACTAGTAATAACGATAATAATAAAAATAATGATAATAATAATTATTATAAAAGCGTTATTATTGTTATAATTGCTTGTATTATCATGTGCCTTACTATTTTTAGGATTTTACTATCAGTATAAGTGCAAAAAAAATATTATAACTGTAGTAAGTACTATAATACGATATAATAAAAATAAATGCATAAGATTATTAGAAGCGTTTATTATGTGTTAATATTTGCTTGTAATTATTCTTTGTGTTAGTTTTTTTATTATGGTTTATATTGATATACTTGCAAAAAAAAAATATTATAACTGTAATATTACAGTAATAATGAAACTATGATATGATGATAACAATGTAAAGTTGATTTTTGTTATTATTATTGTTATTTTGTTTTTAAAATTATTCTATTATTTCTAATATTAGTATGATTATAAAAAAATTATATGCACAATAATTACAATATAATGGATAATCATGATAATAATTAAAAAATGGCAAATTCCGATTTTCGTTAATTATTTTGATTATTATTGCTTTATCGCTCTAATTATTTCTACTATTAGTATAATTAGCAAAAAAAATATATATGGCCGCATTAATTACAGTAATAATGATAATATTGATGTTAATGATGATAATAATTGCAATAATGATGATAATGATGATGATAATGATGATAATGATGAGAACGATGATGATAATGATAATAATGATGATAATGAGGATAATAATGATGATAATAACAATAATAAATGCCCATTTATAATAAAAAAAATGAAAAAGAAAAAAAATCCCAAAAGTCGAAAAAGCGGCGAATTCTATCGAATATCGGCTTTTGAGAGTTTCCTCGAAAATGACGTTTTTTCGATTCCAATGATATTTTAGCAATTATGAGGGTTGAACTGATATGAGGACCATAACTGTATTAATCATGACAAATTGATAATCAAAAAAAGTGAGAATAAGAAAGAATTTTGAGAAAATTGTAATTTAAATACTTAATTTTGATAAATTAGTAATATTGCCAAAAATGACTATTATATATCATATTTGCATTTTTATTGTTATTCTTATCTTCTTATTATTAGCATTATTATTATTATTATTATTATTATTATTATGATTATTAATTATTTTATTATTATCATTATCATTATTATTATTATTATTATTATATTATTATTTTTTATTATCCTTATTATTATTATTTTATTATTTATTATTATTATTATTATTTTTACTATCGTATAATTGCAAAAAAAAATATTATTAACTGTAATATTACTATAATAACGATATAATAACAATAAGGAAATAATAATTATTATAAAAGCGTTATTATTGTTATTATTGCTTGTAGTACATGGCTACTATTTTATTATTTTTACTATCGGTATAATTGTAAAAAAAATAGTATGCCTGTAAAGCATTAATAATAACGATAATATAAATAGAATAATGATAATAATAAGATTATAAAATCGTTATTATTGTTCTATTGCTGTATTACATTGCTGACTATTTTTATTATTTTTACTATCGGTATAATTGCCAAAAAAATATTATGACAGTAATAATTACTATCATAACGAAATACTAAAAATAAGATAACAATATATCTAAAAGCGTTATTATTGTTTTATTATGCTTGTATTATCATGCTAACATTTTTAATTATTTTATACTATCGGTATAATTGGCAAAAAAATATTATGACTGTAATAATTACTAAATAACGATAATATAAAAAGAATGATAATAATATTTTATAAAAGCGTTATTATTGTTTTATTTGCTTGTTAGCATTGCTACTATTTTATTATTTTTACTAGTCGGTATAATGCAAAACAATATTATGACTGTAATAATACTATAATCACGATCATAAAAAATAATGTAATAATATTATTATAACAGCGTTATTATTGTTATTATTGCTTGTATTATCATTGCTACTATTTTTATTATTTTTACTATCGGTATAATTGCAAAAAAAAATATTATGACTGTAATAATTACTATAATAACGATAATAATAAAAATAATGATAATAATAATTATTTTAAAAACCGTTATTATTGTTATTATTGCTTGATTATCATTGCTACTATTTTTATTATTTTACTATCGGTATATTGCAAAAAAAAATATTAGACTGTAATAATTACTATAATAACGATAATAATAAAAATAATGATAATAATAATTATTATAAAAGCGTTATTATTGTTATTATTGCTTGTATTATCATTGCTACTATTTTTATTATTTTTACTATCGGTATAATTGCAAAAAAAAATATTATGACTGTAATAATTACTATAATACGATAATAATAAAAATAATGATGATAATAATTATTATAAAAGCGTTATTATTGTTATTATTGCTTGTATTATTATTTGCTACTATTTTATTATTTTTATATCGGTATAATTGCAAAAAAAAAAATATTATGACGGTACGAATTACTATAATAACCCCGAAAAAATTTTAAAATAAAAATAATGATATAATAATTATTAGAAGCTTGATATTGTTATTATTGCTTGTATTATCATTGCTACTATTTTTATTATTTTTACTATCGGTATAATTGCAAAAAAAAATATTATAACTGTAATAATTACTATAATAACGATAATAATAAAAATAATGATAATAATAATTATTATAAAAGCGTTATTATTGTTATTATTGCTTGTATTATCATTGCTACTATTTTTATTATTTTACTATC